TTAGCCTGGATTTAATGGAACTCAGTGTTTCAGCTGTTTTGCAGTTTTCTGGAACCAGAAAACAGTGACTTTTTTGGGGGCAAAATTAATGTATGTAGCTGAAAATAGACACCAACATCGGTAGCCTACAAGGTACTTGTTAAGCTAAAGGTTCTGTATTGATATTAGCTGGTCATCTTTTAGCTAACATTACCTGCATCCAACAGCTTTACTCAACTCAGTCTGTTAGTTTGGGGGAAAACTGTGAAAACTTATTTGCGTTTTGCTGGTTTGCTGCCGTGATTCTAACACAAACCTACGTAGCTCCGCACAGCAGCAGCAGGTCTCCTTCACAGGTGTAAACCCAGCGCGAGCGTCGTAGCACTCATGTTGCGTTTAAAGGCGGCTCGGAAAAACAGGTTACGACATGTTAACAACGGATTAAACAGTTTTAACTGCTGATAAAAGTGACAGAGGACAAAAATATGGGAAGTGTGGAAGCCTCTACTGTGTCAAATTGACAGAGGAATAACAGAGAGTTGGCCATTCTAAGGTAAAAACCCAGCACATACAGCGTTCATGTTTTGTTTTTCTTTTAATCCAGACGGCTTCCCGTACCCCCCCTGCAATGGCATGGCGCCCCCCCTTAGGGGGGGCGCCCCACAGTTTGGGAACCTCTGCTGTATGCTGTTGGTAATTACAGAACCAGAACCTATTTGCTACCTTTTGGCCTCAAGAGACATATGTGTGAAAAGCTCCATTGCAATGTGATGGGCTGGCCTTTATCTGTATGATGTTGCTCACAGACTCATGCTTGGATGCAAATAATCTAGAGCGGATTATGAGTCAGATTTACATAGCCAGGACATTTTAACTACATGTTAAAACAATTTTCATTTCAAGGTTTTTACCTCTGGAGGAGATATTTTTTTCTTATTGCTTAATGCAATAAGAGGGTAGTGGTACCTGATAGGATTTAAGATCATAATGTTTTTTATTATTTAATGTCCTTTTAGGGTGACGTCGGAGAACGTGCCATAATGACAATTTTTGTTTTTTCTTTTTTTCTCTCTCTCTAGGGTGTATGGAGCAGAGTAACTCAGCAGCGCGCCTCCCTGACTGTTGTTGCTGAAAGAAGTGTAATATAAATCTAAACGAACGTGCCTGTTTGGTGATATTTTCAGCTGTGAGTAACACATACAGGTGTCACGGTGTGGAAGGTAAAAGACTGGTTACTAAGGTAACTGCTGACTGCTAACTACAGTAAGCAAGCTAAAAGTGTAATGTCGGTTAAGCAGCTGACTGCAGGCTAAGCTAGAGCAGATAGCCTGACTAATCAACCAGCTTGTAATTCTTGTTACTCCATATTCTGACTTAAATTGAACAAATTTAAGTCTATGTGAAAATTCAAATCACAATAGGTAAAAATTTTAGAACTACATTAATTATTCTATTTGTTCATGGCAGTAATAACAGGGAAGACATTTGCATTTGAATATACATTTCCTTTAGCATATTTTAAAATATTACTTGTTGTAATTTGTCTGTAAAATTCAAGTATTTGAATAAATTCAAGTGTCTTTTTCATCATGGTTTAATTTTTATGCTCATGTTTCATGACCCACTTCTTTGAATCATAAATTACATAAATACAATTGATCTTTTTGAATATGAACACTTGCTGCTGTTCTCTTTTGGAAAACCATTATCTTATATATTTTGTTTTTAGATCACTTTTAGTAATCTGAAAACAGGATAATGGAAGTAATAAGGTGCTTCCATTATTTTGTATCAATCATCCTTTATATAACTGATATTCATCTGTATGCGCTCTGATGACAGAATTCTCCTGCAGACATCCATCCAAAGCTATTTCATCATGTAGCTATTATTAACGTTAAGACAAGAGGCAACAAATGGACAGAGTCCAGCGTCTCCCGGTCGGTGTCCGTCTGCAAACTCACCCGAACCTACGTCGGTCCTGCTCATGTCTAGAAATCTCCAGCCTTTATTAGGCGCTGACCCCAACAGCTGAGGAGCTGACCGAGACCCTCCGCCTCCTCCCTGGACCTCGGCTGACACCGTGACTCAACTATAGCTCGGCTATTTAGACATCCAAGCTGTTTGGGGACTTGTGCTAAGAGGAGCAGAAGGAGTCGGCTGATGGAGCCGGAAGAACACAGAGCTCTCTCCCTGCGCTCATTTATTTTACTTCCCCCCACTTCTCCCACCACCCAATCACTCAGCCATTCATTCTCTCACCTCTTTTCTCTCTCCCTGTAATTATACCTGCTCTGCCAAGCGTGGCTCGAGGAGTGGCCGGGTGAAAATCACTTGTTAATATGACTGTGCGGTCGGAGCAGGTGATGAAGAGAAGGCCTCCTCGCTGGCTGTCTCTGTGGAAACATGCGGCTGGGGGAGCAGCCACACAGCCTCCACGTCCCTCCTGGGACGAAGAGGTGCAGGAGGCCTCGCTTTGGGGAATAATAACGTGAGCAATGTGAGGGGCCATACATTTTCAAAATGTGCCCGCTACAATTAAAAATCCATAATGAGGCGAAGCGGCGTAACCATGTAACTGTAACCGCCCTTTTGTCTTGGGATTGTTGAACAGCTCAGATTAAACAGGCAGAGGAAAAGGTAGAGAGGAATGATAGCAGATTCCCTCCCGAAGCTCCGCCTTTTTCGGAAAGACGACGAAGCGTTGCCACCAGCAGAGTCAGCATGTCGGACAGAAAGCATTTCTTTTTTTTAATGTCGGGAACAGTAAGCCGGTCCAAGGTATACGCACTCTAAGCTGCTGAGTAGCACCACCAATCCAGCACATTATTTCAAAACTTCACATTTCTAGCTTGATTCAAAAATTTGCTTTCCTTTAGCTTTATTTCAAAGGTTTGTGAATAGACAGTACCGACCAATCACACTGTGGATGTCATTAAGCAATTTGGAATTGACTGTGTTGTCTGGCAGTTATGTTTCTGTTTGTGCAAGAGAACTATTCTCCTCTAAGCCAAATAAGATTTCAGTCGGATTTTTCCAATTTTGATTTAAAAAAGGGTCAAACTTATAATTTAGAGTCACGTGTTAATTTTTTTTCCTTCTGCCTCTTCTTATTTGTTTCATACTGGAAATAAGTTGATGATCTAATCTACAATTTGTAACGACCGAGGAGATGTTTTGTGTTTGACAACCGGCAATTTTAAATATTTCTCTATATTTTGCTTTAAAGAAACATGGTTATGAGTTCAATAAATGTAATCTACCTGGAGTTGATCACAGCTGATTATCTTTGATATTTCATATTTTATAAGAGTCACATATACAAGTGATTCCAAATAAGAATCAGAACCAAAATAAATAAGAGCATAATGTGATGAAAAAATCAGATAATGTACAAATTAATTATATTAAGTAACCTGTTACATTTAAGACTATTCATTTCAAGCTAAACTAAACAATTTCAAGTGATGAAATTGTTTAGCTTAAATTTCAATTCATGAAATTGTTTAGCTTAAATGAAAATTACAATCCACAGCTAGTTTTTTCATTTTCATCATATGACATTCCATGTCATAAGTTAAATTGTTACAATAAAATGTGCAAACCACCAAGTTTGGACAATTTAAAGAAGGTTTCAGCATTATAGAGGCTGGTGGGCTTACCTAGTCATGGGGCCCTCAGATCAAACCATTCCTTGGGGCCTCAAATAATCTTTGGCCGCCTCTGTTCGTACCCAATGAAAAAAATTGGGTACAGAAAAAAAAAGCTTACACTGCATCCCCGCGAAAGCACACAGACGTGCAAACAACGTCAGATTGTGCTGGCGGCACACAGATGTTGCCAACAGAGTAGGGAGATCTGGCACATCCCGCGCCGCTGCAGGCGCTGTGTGGCCGCAGTTGTAAGGGACGCTGTGGGTTTGTGACAGGAGAGAAACGGGAGAAAGGAAAGGACGGCAATTATTATTTTCCGTGCCCTCACCGGAAAAGGCAGAGGAAAGTTCACAGATGTACAACAAACATCATTAATTTGGACTGCTTAGACAGCAGCACGCATGGTCCGGCCTTCAAAGGAATACCACGCATTAATTATTAATCCCCACTACACTGGACAGCATGAAAAGAACAGCCTCTGACAGTTGGTTGGAAGCACTAATAGGAGACTTTTTCCCCCACTCCACTCTTCCCCCTAAAACAGAGCGACGTGAAAAAGCCAAGCGGCTTGAGCTCATTTTATTACAACCACAGTGTGGGCCCCCTGGAGAACCTCGACTTCGGTTTTGCCTTCATTTGCATGACCCACAGAACACCACACACTTTCCTCCCCCGCCCCTCCCACCTTTCTCTGTAACCGAGCACTTTGAAATTACACGCTGCCATTCAATGACTAAAACCAGGTTATCTGTGGAGCGTGCAATTTTGCAGCAGCTTGGTTGTTATATACATTATCCTGAAGGGATAGCGATGATTTTTTTTTTCTTTCTTATTAGAATCTCCCAGCAGGGAGCAAATTGAACGGGAGATAACAGCTGGCTACTCTCGTCACCTATGCACATCCAGGTAGCAGCTCATTTACATTCCTCCAGAGGAGAGCGGATCCTCTGTTCGGTCTGTAAACGCGCTGGAGGAGCTTCAACTTGCTCGTTAATGAAGATCACACCTAAAACTGTTACCGTGGAGATGAGAGTGTCACACATTTTTCACCCATCGTTGAACTTGTTGACAGTTTGGTGAAAAGGGGTGCCGAGATTTGGCACTTGGCATGTGATTCGTCCCTCAGGAATGAACTGCACCCACCCCTCCGCCCCACCACCAACTGAAATCCTGCTTCAAAGCCTCACATTCTTTTTAAGGGCTGCCGATTAAAGGCCTTCATTTCACACATGTACCAGCAATCCAGATGCTTTTTTTTATTTAGCTAAATATCCTTACAGGAAAAAAACAAACAAAATAAACAGCAATCACATAAATCTACAAAATCCATATACTATGCTATGTGTATTATAATCAGTCCAGAAAAAGGCATAGTCTGCACTGCATATGACATCTTTACATCCCAAAAAAAGGACAAACTCAAGCAGCATAACATCTCTCTGCCGCAAGAGTCCCATCGTCAAGGACGCAATTGACAGGTGGTGTTCACTTAAAAGTTGCAGCACTCCATTCAGTTGTCCTTGTAGGCAAGTAAAAAGACAATTGCAGGAGGTTTCCTCAAAAAAAAAAAAAATTGCCTTGATTCATCGTCCATGCAACGCAACACAGGAAAAAAAAAAAAAAAAAACGCAGTTGGCATGACGGCCGCCAAACATTTGGGCTGGACATGCGGCAGAGGTCGATCGAAAGCGTTGACGGATGCAGCATCTGAATGGCATCGTTGTGCTGTGTTTTGGGGTTTGCGGGGTGGGGGGCAAAAGAAGGAAGACTTTCATGCAAAAGTTGAACAGCATTGAGTCATTTAATTGCCGAGTCCATGACAGTGCCCCCCCACTAATCCCCTCCCACCGTTTCGCCTACCCTCACACGTCCGAGTTGATGCTCAGGTTTGCCAAGCGCGGGTCAGAGTTGATCTCATACCGGTAGTGGTACCCCTCCATGTGGTCCCTGCAGGCGTCCCGGATGTTGTACATCCATCGCTTGATGCCCTTTCTGTTCAAGTAGAGCACCAGCAGGAATATGACCCCGATGAGGGCCAGCACCAGGCCCAGGAAGACGTACGACGTCTCCAGGACCCCCTCCATGTCGCTCGAGCACTTCAGCTGGGACTGCTGCACCTGCAGAAGGGGCCGGTGCCTCACAGCCTCGGGATCAGCGCATGTCAGCTCACGCGCGTCCACCACCTGGGTGGAGTTCTTCAGCCACGCCAACAGGTCGCTGATGAAACAGTTGCACCGCCAGGGGTTCCCAGCCAGCTGCACGCGAAGGTCGAGGCGGAGGCCGAAGTCCGCCATCGTGGCGGCGGGCAGATTCTTCAGGTGGTTGTCCCTCAGGTCGAGGTGACGCAGCGCCAGCAGAGTCTCGTTCTCATCCACGCTCTGGAACATGATGAGGGAGCTGTTGCGGAGGTTCAGGGTGGTCAAGCTGGGAAGGCCCTTGAACATGCCGTCCGGCAGAAAGAGCAGGTCATTGTTGGACAGGTCCAGGGAGGTGAGGTTGGGAAGGTTTGCATGGACAAAGAAATCAAGGGTGGTGTAATTGTTAAGCGACCTGCTGAGGTTGAGGAACTGCAGTTTACTATCATCAGGGAAAGCGCTCTCGCTGAAATTCTGGATTATGTTGTTACTCAAGTCCAGCTGTACAAGGTTTGGCAAGTTTTTGAATGCCCCTGCAAGCACATCCTCCATCTCATTGCCACTCAGATACATTTCTGCCAGGTTTTCCAGACGGGTTGGGAAAGAGGAATCGTTTATTTCAGCGATTCTGTTTCCCGTGACGAACAGGGATTTGGTCTTGGCCGGTAAGGAAGGTGGAATCTTGACCAAGCCCTGGTTTTGGCATTTCACAGTTTCTGAAGTGCACAGGCATTTGTCCGGACAGCAGCGGCAGGACAAGGCGAGCGCGAGGAGGAGCAGCAGGCGCGTCATACCGGACTTGTGAGGTCTCCCAGGGCGCATTTTTGGGAGGCGCACAAATCAGGGAGGGGAAAAAACTGCTTTTCAACAAGCCACCGCTTCGTCTTTCCGTCTGGAACAAAGTTTTTCATCAGAGTTTTTCTCCTTAATCCGATTAAAAACAGCTTCCTGTAACACCTCCATGTAACCGGCCGCGTGGAAGAGGGGGGAGGGGGGGGGTGAGTGAGGGGTTACAAAACCTCCTGTATTAGAAGAGGCTACATTTTCAAGAAACTTCTGCGCACCTTTTCGATAGTTTTCACAAACATCTGCTTTTTTTCCCTCCGTCTTTAAAGCTGCGCGAGGATCCTTCAGGCTCTGGGGAAGCGGGAGAAATGAAGTCAAACGCAGAAAGAAAGACGGTCCAAAAACGTCACTCTGGCAGCGGGTTTCCAGACAAAGCCACTTTTCTTCCAGACAGAGCTGCAACGTATCTCTCGCTGTCTCTCTCTACCAAGTGTACTTCCAGCTTTCTGACCGCCCAGCAGCAGGAGGGAGCAGTACATCACAAGGAGGGAGCGTACCATTACTCCCCCGACAGGAGGGGTGGAGAAAGAATGGGGCTTTTATTAAACCCCAACACCCAAAGTGTACTTTCTAACAAGTCTCCCTCGTGTTATCCCTTCACGTTTTCATTTTTGTGGAAAACCGCTCAGGTTTAAAGGGACAGAAACGGTTTGTGGAGCTCGACAGAAAACCCTAATAAATAAACCCGAAGAGGCCCCCGAAGGAACCAAGAAGCCAAAGGCCTGTTATTAAAACATTAATCTTCTGATTCACACTGATACTGTTACTTTTGAGGATTCATATAAACCCTCTTGGGTTCTAGGCTGTAACAGTTGGGTGGGGAAAACAGATTTAGAAAACAAAAAACAAGTACTTTGTAAAAACTGGTTAAAACATCAAAATTATTTGATTATTTTATAAACACAGTTCAGCCAACCTAAAAAAAACAAAAGTCTGGAATGAAAGAAAATAAACATAACTTATTAAATCTTCTTGTACACACACATAGTGGTGGGGGGTTGGGGCGGGGGTAGTATTTCTTGGGGCCAGATAACAAAAAAATAAAAACAAAAAGCAATATTTCAATGGCTAATATAAGTGAGATGAAAACTTTGATCCTATCTTAATATGGCTGAAGTACAACTTACATACTTGGAAAAAATAAAACAGAAAAAAAAAAATTACGAGAATAAACTAATACTTAAAAAAAGTCATAAAATTATCAAAATAAAGTTGTAATATTATGACTATTCTTGTAACACTATGACTTTATTCACATATCATTTTGACTTTATTCTCATACAGCTTTATTTTGTAAATAGTATGACTTTGTTCTTGTAATATTATGACTTTATCCTTGTAATTTTCTAACTTTATTCTCGTAATTATATATATTATTTTCCCTATTATTCTGTCATACTAAAGCCAAAAGTGCAACATCATATTTTTTTTATTTTTAAGTAAAATCTGATTATTTGGATCTGATAAATTCTTTCATTCATACAACAGTGAATATTATTTGAAAGAAAAATACTTTGTTGTTTTTAGCCAATTTTGCTAACAGGTATGTTAGCATATCTGGTTAGCGTATCACTTAGCAAGTCTGACTGGCTTTCAAACTTGAAACTGGAACCTAAAGTTAGATTTAATGTTTTTTTTTTTTTTTATTTAAGTTCTAATTTCAAAGACTAAGGAACATATGGAACGATTTTTCCTGTTTTACTCTCATCTGCTCCAGTTTGTACTGAAACATCTCAGCTTTTATCTGGTGTACCTTAGTACTGCAGCACACTTCATTCAGGTGTGTTTACTTTGCACAAGAACTGATGTCTCTCCAGGAAGTCCAAGCACCAAAAGAGGTATCAGTAGAACTGTTTCATGAACTCGTTCATATTTGAAAAGGATTAGAAAACACTTGTCTACCCGAATATTGATAAACAGTTTTTTTGTGTGTTTTTTTTTAAATATATAAAAACAGTCCCTCTCTTTGCAGTACTGGTTCAGTGACAAGATTTGAGAAAACAACTCCCCCTCCCCCGTTTTTTTATTTTTTTTATTTTATTTTACAAATCTCTGGAAAAACCCCGAATAGAATAATTCTCTGTTGGTTTATGCAGGATTTAACCACTGAGAAGTAAAAGAAGAAGACGAAGAAGAAAAAAAAAAGAACTGTGGATGGATTTGTGATTGAATATTGATGGAGAGCCCGCTCCTCATTATATCAAATTTGGAAGCCCCCTGATGGTGATCCATTGTGTGTAACCCTATAGCTTTTTACCTCTGTCTGGCCCCTCTCATATTCTTAGCCCTGGGTCAATGGGACAACCATCTGAGTAATTCCATCACACCTGGATTGTGGCTGAAACTGATACCCTCAACGTCTGCCGGGCCTGACATTATGTTTTCCAAGAAGACGCATAAACTTTCGACACTCGACATCACCTGCTCACTCAGAGGCCAGCGTGCTCGAAAGATTTTTCTATGTAGGAAATAAAAACATGTCATCCATAGAAAATATTTTAAGGTGTCGTATTTTGTAAGCACTAAATCGATTCAAAATTAAACAAGGCAATGCGTTGTTCCACAGATAACTGACAGTTTACTAATGCAGCATAAGCATCAGTCACACTTCATTCACGTGATAAAAAAAAACAACAACAACAAAAAAAACATGAAAACTACTATGAGCAGCAGTGAGAAAAACTATTGATTGGACAAAAGAGGACTGGAATCAGACATGGTAGTAGTAGCAGTCATACCTCAGAATTTCTTTGAAAAACGCCTGATGATGCAGCATAGCAACAATTGTTTCCTGCTTCAGGTTTATTATATCTTAGTGACACTTAGCATTTCCTTACTATGATAGCATACAAAAAAAGACAAATTGGAGATCTTTTCTAAATATATAGTCACACAATTAAAATAAAAAAAATCTTTTGAATTTGTTTAAAATTTGTTTTATGAAAGTTAAGGAGTTTTTGATAGCCTTAAGCCATAATAATCAAAGTGAACAGAAATCAACTCTTAATACAGTTTCTGAGTTTGTCGCTTTAAATTCAATTACTCAATTTGCTGAAATAAATTACTCATTTGGGGCATCGTATTTATAAGACATTCACTGCATTTTTCTCATGAAATAAAGTCAACTTTTAATGAAAATTTTAATGCCATACTTAAGTATTTTCAACGGAAAGTCAAGGCCATTAACCAAAATACTATGTAAGGAAGAGACTAGAAACAATATTATTTGAATAACTTTGAAAGTAAACTTCTCATAATGAAATATAATGATTCAATTTAACAGCATTCATTATAGCTATCTTTTTCAGAAAATAATCCCTATTCTTCTTAAAAGTCTAGAAGTGTATTATCTATAATTTTAGGTATTATCAATGCATAAGATTATGAAAAACAAAATTAGCATATGACATAATCTGGCAACAGGATCCTTCACTCGCTTGACGTACCCCCAAAATGGACCAATTGGAGATTAGCATGTTTCCATTTTGACCAATCGCAAGTCTCGATATTAAGTGGGTGTTGTTACCTAACCTGCGGGATTTTAGCCTTGACAAAACTGGGCACAATTTCAAAAGCTGCTAAAGTTTCTTATTTGCAATTATGACACCCTGGATATACGCCGCTAAAGTTACTTTCTCCGTATCCTCTTTTTTCTTCATCTAGCGGAAGGTAAGAGAAAAAAGCATATTTTTATCTATATATTTTCCTCTACCGCAGTAGAATCATCAGGCTAGCTAGCAATGTTCCCTTATAGAAAGCTAACGCAACAGTGTTTATTAGATACTTAAACTAACGAGAACAGTAAAGACCCTTTTATGTGTGTTTTTTTTTTTTTTTTTTTGCTGAACACTTGTCTGCTTCTATATTTTAAATTGGACAACATTCTGAAACAATTTGAGAAGCTAACAGCTAACCGTTAGCTTGTGTGATAGCTAGTTGCAAGGTAGCTTAACGGCAAACATTTCCTATGTAATATTGAATAAACTTTCTTTGAAGTTAAATTTCTTTTACGTGCATACAGTATTGGAATATTTTAGAAACTCAAAGAACCTTAAATGTGATGTTAGCCGGCTAATTTACCCTGTTTCATAATGCTGAAGTTGTGCATTTGTAACTTCGCATCATACGTGTCCACACTCAGCCCATCTAAGCTTTTAAAGTTGATAATTAGGTCAAAGTTGTTATTACCCCAGTCATTTTGACATCCTGACTATGTTCTAGGAACTCACTCACCCTGTTTTGTTACACTAAATGCTTCACTTGGATGACTTTCTGGTGTTAAAGAGCCAAGAAAAGATTTTGAAGTAGCATTAATGAAAATGTTGTTTCCACACACACAAAGTGTAAGTTTTTGTGGTCTTTTCTTAAATGGTGCCTTTATTCTTCTCCCCAGGTGCATTCTACAATTATGGAGTTTTAAAACCAGGAGCGTGAGTTTTGGGGGGGAAAGGTGGCCCAACCCCTCAAGTTGGATGGTTGGGTTGCTGGACGTGGAGGTCAGGGGGTTTTGAAATTGTTGCCTTTTATTTCTTTTATTATTATTATTATTATTATTATTATTTTTTTTGTAAATGGTTGGATAGAAAAACTATTTTTGCAAAGTTTTTGAGATGTACATTTTGTATGAAGCGCATGTTAAGTTTTGTATTTATTGAATTCATCATGCTGGTGTATGCCGCAAGCAGCCTAGTGTGTGTTCAATCCTTGGTCGAAATGGTGGACTGAAGGGAGCCACGGAAAAGGCTCTTGGGGTCGCTAGGGTGCGGTGGAACCTCAACACAAGCACAATTCTAGCGCTCCAAGCCACCTCAACCGTTTTCAAAAACTTTCCTTTCCTCCGAGAGCTTCTTTTTGTTCTGCAAAAACGTTGAGTTGCAGTGTTATTGGTTTGTTTGTTGCGACGTGTCTTGTTTACAATTGTGGGTGGTGGGCTATCAGAAAGGCTCTGTGACAGAAGCGCAAGAGAGAATTTATTTTTTTTGAAGAGGCCAGGATGAGTCTGGCACCTCTGGACTGCACCCCGAAATGCCGGTCCCAGCAACACGCAGACCAGGTGGTGGCGGCGCTGACCAGTGGCTCCGAAGGGAAGCTTCGGGCGTTCCTGGCTTCACACTGCCACAATGCAACCAGCCTGCGAGACGCATTTGGTCGCACGGCCCTTCACCTGGCGGCCTCTCTGGGAAAGAAGGCTCTGCTGGAGTGGCTGCTGAACGCCAAAGGGGCCGATCTGATGTTGAAGGATAAAGAGTCTGGCTGGAATGCGCTGCACCGCAGTGCCTTCTACGGACACATCCACTGTCTCATCTCGTTGGTCAAGGTACGTGTTCACGGATTATGAACTCTTCTTAATTTTGGAGATTTTCTAACAAGTGATCTCTTCCTCTAATTATTTTTCCACACTCTGCATTGCTGTAAACATAAATTTCCATGTATTTTATGACTACTTTGTTCATTCTCAAGTGAAAGTGAAATAATGCAACATTTTTGTTTTTTTTTTGCTTTCTTTTAAACTTTGCCTCAGAGCGGGACAGCAAGACCAAATTTCTATAGCTGAACCTGCAGTAGATCAAATGAAATTCATGTGTTACAAAGGCCTAGTCAAAGTCCAGATCTGAATCCAATTTGGAATGTGTGACAGGACTTCAGTCTGATGCAGTTTGAGCCATTTTGCA